TGAGGGGGCTGGGGGGGCTGGGGGTGCCAAGGGTGCTGGGGTAGAGGTTGTTGAGCCTAACGGTGATCTGAAAATGAGATGCAAGAGCAGGTAAGAATGCAACAGGGTCTCTCTGTTGGATAATCGCCCGCCCCCCCACCTGGCTAAACCACTTCTCTAATCTTTCTAACAGCTGTGCTCTTGAAGCTAAAGATGACACCAGTCGGATTTCCCTGTGCCTTGCCAAAAAACCTGGATGAGGAACATCCTGATTAATCTTCACTGACTGATAATACCTCTATCTCAAACGTGTGTGTACCTCTTCCTAAAAGTTTTCTTGCCTGTGAATTATGGAAGTAGAGCCCAGTCTCCTACCAACGCTCTTTTTCCCGCTACGTGTCCTATAAATGTTCTTACTAATTCCCACCATTCAAGGAGGGCTGAGAGGGGGCAGGTAGGGCATGTCTTCACAGGGAAGAATAGCTGGCAAGGAGGCGTTTGGTATTTTTTCAGTTGGGAGGGACAGAAAAATGAAGAAATCATAACCTCAAGGTATGCAAAACTAAAATCACCTAAAAGCATTGAACCTCATTGTGTAAATGATCACACATATCAAATAAATACTAAATATAGGTTGAGACAACTCATCTCAGAAAAATGGATGTTTCTCCTTAGAAAAATTCAAGCAGAAACTCTTGCTAATCTGATATGTGTTCCCTTTTTACGGTAGCAATGATGACACCACATTCAATGACAAGTTTTAACAAATGACTTTCATGGCACCCAGTTTCTAATGCAATTATTTTTGTGTTCTGTTTCTTGGAAACTTCCAAGGTTAAAGCTTTCGTTTCAAGTTCAAACTCTTCACCATCATAACCTTAACAAAGCTCCGTGGAGCCAAGGAGCCGCCCTACAAGGGACCACTCAGTCCACATTGCCAAACCCCCACGGAGAGCCTGAGACTTTCTCACCTATATGTCTGATTGATCCCAGGTTTCCCACCAGGGATATTTTCACTGAGTGCAGGGGACGTAGGGGAGGAATGACCAGAGCTCACAGATCCTGGCCGGAACGACGTACTCTTTTTGGCTACCTGCTTCCGTGATTGGGCAAGCTGGTTTTCCAAGCTTCTAGACGATTAGAGAAGAGATCATATGGTAAAGGACACAGAAAAGATGAAATGTGAAAAAAAAAAAACAGCCAAAAAAGAAGGACTAGCACTCACTCAGTGTCACCTGCCTGGGGGGACAAAGGTGGAGCTGGTGGGGCAGGTGGGGTGGGTGTAGCAGGCGGGGCGGGTGGGGCTGTTGGTTGTGGGAGCTCCATGGGCTTAAACTGGGTTCCAGTACTGGTCAGATCCTGGGTATACTGGACCACAGGGCCTTTGCTCCTCACAGCACCTACAGGAAAAGGAGATGGACTGTTGAGAAGATGATCGCGGTGTCACCTATATTCATGCACACATCGGATCCTCAATTTACATAACATAAAAGAGCAAAGAGGGAAACATTCTGAGCAAGTGCTCTTTACACAATGAGTGGGGAAACTGGCACAGACTGGCTTTGACTTAAACAATAAGATTTTATCTTCCTGCCTCAGACGATTTATGTTAGTTAATTATTATATTTGAAAGTGAAAACTTTCAAAAATATGTTCTTTGATCAACTAGTGTAGTCAGGGAAAAAAAAAATTCAACCAGGAAGTATGCCAGGAAGACATAAAAACAGATACAGTTTGGGCTATAAAAAGTTGACCACATCTAACACAAAGCAGGCGATTCTCTTGCGACTAACAGAGGTAGCTACCACCAACACCCCTAACCTAAGCCAGTTGTTTCAGTTTTTTATGTGGTTGTTTAGAACGAATCAGAGCCACAGCATGTGGAGGCAGCGCCACAAATCCATCACCACTCCTGGGGACAGCTCAGGGCACATGTCCTGTTTCCAATGAGTCAGTAGTGTCATCCTGGTAAACAAAGGCTAGCCCATTGTATATAATCTCCTTGGCTGGCTGGTCCGTTTCTTCCCTCCCCCAGGCTATCTTATCTTTCAAGACATACCCATATTTGGACGTGTCCTGAGCTGTCCCCCTTGCTTCTTCTCCAGTGCAGAGGCCGAGGATGTCTTCAGGCTGAACATGGGCTCCAGCCGTGTAGAGCCTCGGTAGATCCATTCACATCTTTTGTCATCCTGGGCGATTGGGAGGAAGGAAGGGTGGCGTTAAATGGGTTGAGGACTAGAATCTATCCTGCCATTTGTGGACAATATACACCATGTGTCTCCTCAGGGAAATCTCCCTGAGGAGCCCTGAATCCTTCATTTCGTCAATAAACTTAAGTGCCGGGCTCCATGACAGGCATCAGGGATATGAACTAGAAAAACACATATTCCCTGTTTAAGAAATTTCGGTAGCGACAGATGTTTTTACTGAGTATAAGAAACATGACCAGGATCATAAGGCCTTAGGAACAAAAAGCTGGGATAGCTCAGTGAAGAAATAGGATTCTAAATAAGGCGTGAGAGGGGAGAAAAGGATGAGCACGGAAGATGTAAGCATGAACTACGGTCTTGAAAGATCATCAGGACTCCAATTCCTCGATCTCTCCTTCTCTGTCCCACTATGCTACCAAATCCTAACACGGACCAATGGAACTGGCTGCCTGCTCTGTACCTACATGCCATGTGAATACGCCTCGAGAAAAAAAACCACCACCACCTTGCAGATTAGTATCATAATTAAATCCAGGGACTTTATTGTCGAAAACCGTCCCCAGAAGAACACAAAGGACAAAGTAAAATTGACCCAAAGCAGTGAGAACAGATGGGAGGACAAGAAAGAGGGAAACTATGAAGTTTTACAAAACCATCCTCCTTGTTGTCTCTTACATGCCCCATTCCACCCGAACCCGCCCCCAAAACTCTAGGGGAGAAGAGTACCAGGAAGAGGATCTTGACCAGGCTGCCGTCCACCTCCTCCACTCGGGACTTCCACCACGTTCCCTCCCACTCGGTCTTGATAAGCTGGCCACTCTTAAGCAGCACCATGGGCCGGTTGGGGTAAGCGGTGATGTACTCCTCTATGAAGTCTCGGCAGGAGATGTCTTCTATGTCCTCCCACGTCTTCTTCACTGTCCCAAGAAAGAAGGAGGGCTGAGAGGGGGCAGGAAGGGCACATCTTCGCAAGGAAAAATGGCTGGCAAGGAGATGTTCGGTATTTCGAAGTTGGGAGGGACAGAACAATAAATGGAGAAATCATAACCTCAAGGGATGCAAAACTAAAATCACCTAAAAGGCACTGAACCTCATTGTGTAAATGATCACACAAGTCAAGTAAATACTAAATAAAGGTTGAGTCACTCATCTCAGAAAAATGGATGTTTCAGCTTAGAAAAATTCAAGCAGAAATTCTTGCTAACCTGATATATAAATCTAGAGGTAAATCAAAAAGATCAGGTGGCATCATGAAACGGATTAAAAACAATTTTGTTCTTCTCATTCTCTATCAGGCTCCTAAGGGATCCTGAAAGCATTTGCTGTCATGTTATGTGACAACACAGCAATGTTAGCTGACTCTTCTGCAATTAAAAACCATTGCTTCTGTAGGAGTCTGTCTCCAAGCCACTCACAAGTGTAAAGGACAGCTTCTGTAGAAAGCATTACACAGACCACAGATTTATATACACGTGTTAGATAAAGCTCGAGACCAGGAAAGCAGTAACATTGTCTCAAACCTAATCACTTAGAAATGAAATCAAAACACGTCTACAATATGAGTATCCACCCAAGGTCAGGCCTGTCTTCCAATGTTTCTCACTCTTTGGCTACAAAGACCCAGCACTAGAGATGGGCAAATAAAACTCTATCTCCCAAAGGACATGAACGTTTTTACTGCGATGTTCAGATGGGTTTTCCTGTGGCTTGCACTATCAACAACAAAGATGTTTTGGGGGGGCGGCCCGTTAGCTCAGTTGGTTAGAGTGCAGTGCTCATTACACCAAGGTTGCCGGTTCGATCCCCACATGGGCCACTGAGATGCACCCTCCACAACTATATTGAAACTACTTGACTTGGAGTTGATGGGTCCTGGAAAAACACACTGTTCTCAATTAAAAAAAAAAAAAAAGTTTATTTCTTCTTAAAAAAAAGATGTTTTGTATGTTATACTGTGTAACATTTGTAATACATTTTTTATGTCATCAATGCCATTAGATTCTCATTTGTCTATACTTAAATCTAATTGATGCCACTTTGTACGTTTTGGGTATTTTTTGCTAAAATTCAATATAATGGTAAACGTATTACCATGTAACAAAGGTTTAAAATAAAAATAATGTCACGTGCGTACAAACCAGCTCAAAATGTTATTATTAAATGAATAAAATAGTCAAAATATTAAATTTTATTTTTTGTGGATTTTTGACACATTGTGAAAGGAAAAAAACTTGAAATCAATTAACGCAGTGAAAGGGTCTAATCAAATTTTTGCTCTTTGGAACCAAAGTATCAAGAACATTAGGGCTTGGGCCGGCTGAGAGGCGCGATGGTTAAGAACTGGCTTGGGACGCCAGAGGGCCCCGGTTCAGATCCCACATATGAGGGCCAATGACACTGCCCTCCACAGCTAAGATCCTGATAAACAGCTCAACCTGGAGCTGGGCTGCTATGAGTTGCCGGCGACGGCGTAGGCTGCCGCCCCTGCTGCAGTGGGTTGCCATGGGCTACCGTGGGTAGACAGCAGCCAGCGTGAGCGGCCAGCAGCCGCAGTGAGCAGCCGTCCAGAAGCCGGCGACCGATCTGCCTCGCCCGGGAAGAGCGCAATGATGGTGCCAACTTGGGCCAGTGAAGCAACGACCTCCACAACTAGACTGAGGAACAAAACGACAGCAACTTGTCTGTTCCCCTTACCCCAATTCCCCATCACTGTTCCCATCCCCCCAATTCCCCAATAAAAATCTTAAAAAAAAAAAGAACATTAGGGCTCTTCAACTGGGCATCTTTCAAAGAAATACAAGGTAAGAAAGGTGGCCTAGCTACCACTAAGGAAAAGCAGCAGCACACTCACGTGGCCGGCAAATGTGATACAGTTCAGACTGTGTGACGTAGGAAGCGTAACCGTCGTCAAAGAAAATGAGAAACCTGTAAGGAAAGAGTGATGGCAGAAAGATCAGAGGTCGTGTTTAATGTGACCTACAGACATTATCTTACCATAGCCTCCACTCCTCTGGCTCAAATAGGAAACCCTTCAGAGAATACATTCCAGTCACTCCTTTCTCCCTAGTCTTCTTTCTTCCCACCCTGTTAAGAATTCTCCCTCAATCTAACCAACATATCCCACTTGCTCAAAAGCTGTTTATTCTTGTTCCACTATCAGATTGCTATCCCAGAAACCATTTGGTCTCCACTTCATTTCTTCCTTCTATATGAATTCCCTGTTCCCCTAACCATTAATCAATTCTGAGCACTCTCCTAGATTTCTGCCAAGTATTGTCCCTGAGAAAGGTATAAAAAAATAAATAAATAAAGGCGAAAGAGAGAATCACCCACATGACTCCTGTGGCAAAGACAGAGAAAGGGTTTCTGGCCACTGGGGACTAAGAGCACAAAAGGGTAACTGTCAAGATCTGGACTATGGCTTGAACAGGGCAGGTGCTGTGCTCCCGGCCTCCGCTCTTTCCAGTCCTCTGTCCAGGTACCTGAGCTTGTTTTTGACGTTTGGTGTCTCAGCTACAATGCCAGCATAGAGCCAGACCTGATTCCCATCTTTGTACTTGGCCACCACTCGACTGCCCACATACAGCCTATCAGCAGGAGGGTGGTAATCATAGGCAATATGGTTCCCCGACAGCAGACTCTTTCCTTTGTTGTCGAATTTCACCTTGTACTTCCTTCCTGGCCCTGAGAGAAAGGGAGAGATAAACAAATGTTCCAAGCCATTAGTTTGTGCATAAATCCCGGCTGCTGTGAGTGAGACAAGAGGCAAGGCTGAGGGGGAGGGCACGAGCCCGTGAGCGATGGAGGCTGCAGGCTGCCTTTCGTGAGCTCCCGAGCAGGCTGAACGTACCGACCGTCTGGATGGCGATGAGACTGCCTCTGTGCCACGTCTTCGTTCTCTTCTTGCCCAGAATGCGCATGTTGACTACCAGGTCACCGTCTCTGCTCAGTTCTCCAGGCATCTGACTCAAGGTTCCTGTGGAAGAAAGCAGAGGCGTGCTAAAGAGACAGGACAGAGACTGGGGAGAGAACGGAGAAGTGAAGAGGGGCGGAGTAACCATGGAAGACACGGCCATCTTTGGTTCTTAACCACATTTGCTCTCTCTCGGCCAATGGCAGAAGCGCAAGACACAGCTGACTCAAATATTCCGCTAACAGGCAAAACTCAAATCACTGAAATTTGCATGTAATTCAAGAGCATCTCACTTTAACCAAATGTTTCCAACTCCTCATTAACAATATTAACTACCATGCATTAAGAGTGAAATAGCATTTATAAAACATTTTCCTGAAAACGGCCCCATTCTACAAACAAAGCTTCCCTCAGACTGCTTTATAAGTATTTGAGTTACTCTCCTCTCTGATCCCCATCAGAAAGAGTCATGAGGATGAGCTAAAAAGGTATTTGGATAAAACCACCATACCCTGGAAAACTGGCAGGCAAAAGACTGAAACAGACAAGGCAAGGCAAAATCACAAATAATCTTATATGGACCTGTATAGCCTGTGGCGTTAAAAGAACCCAACAGAGGTGGAGAAGGATTCTTAGATGCTAAAACAAAGCCAGTTACCCATGCATTCTCTGGAGGAATTCACCTCCATCTGTCTCGAGGTCCCGCCTGACCCTAACCTTTTGGGAGGTCCTGGGAACTGCTCTTCTTGTTGACAGCATCCATGAATTTCTGGACATCTTGAGCCGACTTCCGTAAGGCGGCCATCGCTTCACGGAGCTGTAAGGAAGGGCATGAGGGAAATAAGTTTTAAAAGAGCAGCCCAGGTAAGAAATACCTTCAGAATAAGAAATAACGTGTCTTTCAAAAAACAAAATAGAATTAGTTATGTCTGGAAGCTTACAGTTACTTTATCAGGCAAAACTGCCCTTTCTTACGAATCTGTTTAGAAATCAGTTTTAGGAAGCTTTTTTTGATTATTCTCACCTAGCTGGTCACTGCCAGACTCTACATTTAGTAGCACTCTGTGCAGGCATCTCTAAGTAACCTCTTCTGCATTCTTACCACATCTGTTAGAAGACTACAACCCACAGGGCTGATTACAGGGTGAATCATTACATGTCAATGGCTGAACTGACTGAATGGTCAGGGCAAAAGTTTCCTCCATTTTCATATTCTTATCTCTCCCCAACCCCCTCCCCATTCCAGCTTACCTTCTGGTCTTTTGGAGTTCTGCTCCCAGTGTCACCTGTGGATGAGAAAAACTCTAGTGAATGTAAGATACTTTTACACACAACGATTTCCAAGAAATCAAGAACTAAGCTACCTAAAAGCTTTATCATAGAAGTACTCTTGATAACAACTGCAAAGTAGATACAGGCATACATATATATATACGTCAAAGTACCAAAAGTGTCGAGAGAGATACACAGCAAATAGGTGACTGTGCTTACCTGTGGTAAAATACTGGGACAGGTGGCCGTCTGTGGGATTTTGGGTTTTCATTGTATATATGAATTTTTATAGCAGTAATTTACTTATGGATTATCAGGATGATTTGAAAAATGAGATGTGGTCGATAAATTAGGCAACTGTTTATTCTTGAGTAGTGCTGTACAGAACTTCCTGCTCCGATGCTATAATAGAATTATTCTACGTCTGTACTGTCCAATCTGTTACCACGTGGCTACTAAGCAAATGAAATGTGGCTAGTGCAACTAAGGAAATACATTTGAAATTTCATTTTAAAAAAAACTTTAGGGGCCACCACTTAGCTCAGATGGTTAGAGCGCAGTGCTCGCAACACCAAGGTTGCCAGTTTGATCCCCCATGGGCCACTGAGCTGAGCCCTCCACAACTAGACTGAAACAACTACTCGACTTTGGAGCTGATGGGTCCTGGAAAAACACATGGTACCTCAATTAAAAAAAAAAATTCAGGTGTGATTCACATACCATAAAATTTACTTTAAAAAAATTTTTCTTAGGGCTGGCCGAGTGGCGCATTGGTTAAGAGCTGGCTTGGGACGCCAGAGGGCCCCGGTTCAGATCCCACATATGAGGGCCAGTGACACTGCCCTATACAGCTAAGATGCTGAACAACAGCTCAACCTGGAGCTAGGCTGCCATGAGTCGTTGGCGATGGTGTAGGCTGCAGCCCCTGTGGCAGTGGGTTGCCATAGGCCCGTGTATAGCCAGCAGCCAGCGTGAGCAGCAGCAGCCGCTGTGAGCAGCAGTCCAGAAACCGGCGACTGATGCCTCGCCGGGAAGAGCGCAATGATGGTGCCAACTTGGGCCAGTGAAGCAACGTCCTCCACAGCTAGACTGAAGAACAAAATGACAGCAACTTGTCTGTTCCCCTTCCCCCAATTCCCCAATTTAAAAAAAAAAATTTTTTTTTTTTAAAGATTTTATTGGGAAATTGGGGGAGGGGAACAGCGTTGGGGAATCGGGGAAGGGGAACAGACAAGTTGAATTGGGGATGGGAACAGCGCTGGGGAATTGGGGAAGGGGAACAGACAAGTTGCTGTCCTTTTGTTCTTCAGTCTAGTTGTGGAGGACGTCACTTCACTGGCTCATGTTGGTATTATCATTGTGCTCTTCCTGGTGAGGCAGTCGCCCGCCGGCCACTGAACAGCCGCTCACCACAGCTCACAGCGGCTCATGGCAGCTCACGAAAAGCGCACACCAGCTGCCCGCCAGCCCCACTGCAGCCTACATCACTGCCGGCGACTAAGGGCAGCCCAGCTCCAGCTCGAGCTGTTGTTCACCATCTTAGCTGTGGAGGGCGCAGCATCACTGGCCCTCATGTGGGCTCTGAACGGGGGCCCTGCTGCTCTGAGCTGGCATCCCAAGCCAACTCTTAACCAAGCGCCACTCGGTGGGCCCAAAATTTACCCTTTTAAGATGTTTAATTCAATGCATTTCAGTATATTCAGAAGGTTGTACAACCCACATCACTATCTAATTCAAGAACATCTCCATCACCCCAAAAAGAAAACCTACTAATGAGTATGGGGTTTCCTTTTTGGGGTGACGAAAATACCCATTAGCAGTAACTCGCCATTCCAGCATCTCCTCAAGCCCCAGCAACCACTAATCTACTTTCTGTCCCTATGGATCTGCCGATTCTGAACGTGGCATACAAATGGAGTCACACTATATGTGGTTCATCATATAAGGGTCGTTTTGTTGCAGCATTTATAACACTCCAGCAGCAGAATACAAATTCTTTTCAAGTACACAGGGATCCTTCTCCACAACAGACCACATGCTAGGCCACTAAAAAAGTCTAAATAAATGTAAAAGGATTTAAATCATACAAAGTATGCTTTCTGACAACAATGAAATTAATTCACAACAGAAAGAAATCAGGGAAATTCCCAAATATTTGGAAATCAAACAATGTATTCCTAAATAACCCACTGGTCAAAGAAATATCACAAAGGAAATTTTTAAAATTGAGCTAAATGAAAATACAACATATAAAAATTTACAAGATGCGGTGAAGCATTCTTAAAAGGAAATTTATAGTTTTAAATGTTTAAATTAGAAAGGAAGAAAGGTCTAAAATCAATAATCTAAACCTCCACTTTAAAAAACTAGAAAAAGAGCAAATCAAACCCAATTAAGTAGAAGGAAGAAAATAATAATGATCAGAGTAGAAATCAATAAAATAGAAAACAGAAAAACAGGAGAGAAAAACCAATGCACCCCCAAAACGGTTCCTTGAAAAAGGGCAACAAAATTGATAAACCTTTAGCTAGACTAACCAAGGGGGAAAAAAAAAAAAAAGAGATCCAAATATAACCAATATCAGGAATGAAAGAAATCATTTCACTACAGAACCTATGAAAATTAAAAAGGATCGTAAGGGAATACTATGAACAACTTTATGGCAATAATTTAGACAACTTAGGTAAAATGGACAAGTTCCTGGAAAGACACAAATTAATAAAACCACTGGAGAAGAAAAAGAATATCTAAGTAGACATGTCCGGTAAAGAAAATAAACCAGTAATTAAAAACCTTTCCACAATAAAGTCAATGCAGTATCCTGGATTGGATCCTAGAACAGAAAAAGCCCAGATATCAAATAAAGTATGGAGTTTTGATAAAAATAATGTACCAAAGTTTGCTTCTTAATTTTGACCAAGGTACCAAGGTAACATAAGATATTAACATTAAAAGAAACCGGTGAAAGGTATACAGGAACTCTCTGTACTATCTTGGCAATTTTTCTGTAAATCTAAAGTTATTCCAAATTAAAAAGCGTATTAAAAAAATAAATCTTTCCACAAAGAAAAGTTCAGGCCAAGATGGTCTCACTGCTGAACTTATCAAACATTTAAGGAAGAAATACCACAATTCCACACAAACTCAGAGGAGGGGAACATTTCCTAACATCTTATTACCCATATTACCAAAACCAAAGCCAAACAAACAAACTACAAACCAATAGCCCTCATGAACATAGGATCAAAAATTTTATTTATTTGTTTCAGGTGTACAAAACAATGTACAGTGTGTGTTGTACTACACAGTAATGCAAACTTCAGGGCAATCTAGTTTTAGAACAGGTTCAAACAGGTTCACTCTAGTTTTAGAATGTAGGCTCAAAAATTCTTAACAAGGGCGGCCGGTTAGCTCAGTTGGTTAGAGCACAGTGCTCATAACACCGAGGTTGCTGGTTCGATCCCCAAGCCCTCCACAACTAGACTGAAACAACTACTTGACTTGGAGCTGATGGGTCCTGGAAAAACACACTGTTCCCCAATAAAAAAAACAAAACAAAAACTTAACAAAATCCGATACCACAACACGTAAAAAGGATTATACACTACAACAAAGAGGGTGGGGTTTATTCCAGGAATGCAAGGTTGGTTTAACATCCCCAAAATAATTGTTTTAATCCACCCTATTAAAAGGATAAAGGACAAAAACTATATGATCATCAGAAAAAGTAGCTGACACAATCTAAAATCCAATCCAGTTATGATAGAAAACACTCAGCAAACTAGGAATAGAAGCCACTTTCCTCAACCTGATAAAAGTATTGTCACGAAAACCCTACCATTCACAACATAATGCTTAAAGACCAAATACTTTCCCCCTAAGATCAGAAACAAGGAAAGGATGTGCTTGCAAAACCTTTATTCAACATTGTACTGGAGGTTCCAGTGAGCATAACAAGATAAGAAAAAGAAATACAAGGCATCCAGATTAGAAAGAAAGAAGTAAAATTGATATATTTGCAGATGACATGATCTAGTGTATAGAAAATCCTAATAGATCCACAAAAAGCTTCTAGAAGTAATAAGTGAGCTTAATAAGATCACAGGCTGCATGATCAATACACATAAAACCAACTATATTTTTATGTCCTAGCAACAAACAATCCTAAAAAGAAATAAAGAAAATAATCCCATTCACGTTAGAATTAAAAAGAACAGGAGAGATGTACCATGATCATGCATTAGGACGCAGTATTAGTTAAAAAGGCAATACTCCCCAAATTAATCTTTAGATTCAATACATTTCCTAGCAGGTTAAAAAATATATATATTTTTACTAACACAGTGATTTTAATACTTACTCGTACTATAATCTATAGTAATTAACACAGTGTGATGCTGGTATACAGACATTTAGATCAATGGGATGAAGTAGACCCACACATACATTCCCAGTTAATTTTTTTTTTTTAAACATTTTATTGGGGAATTGGGGGAGGGGAACAGCGTTGGGGAATCGGGGAAGGGGAACACACAAACTGCTGTCCTTTTGTTCTTCCATCTAGTTGTGGAGGACATTGCTTCACTGGCCCATGTTGGTAATATCATTGCGCTCTTCCCGGATGAGGCAGTCAGTCACCGGCCATTGGACGGCGACTCACGGCAGCTCAGGTCCAGGTTGAGCTGTTGTTCACCATCTTAGCTGTAGAGGGCGCAGTGTCACTGGCCCATGTGGGATCCGAACCGGGGCCCTGCTGCTCAAAGCTGGCGTCCCAAGCCAACTCTTAACCAAGGCGCCATACTTGGCCAGCCCCCAGTTGGTTTTTAACAAGGGTACCAAAAGAACAGTCTTTTCAACAAATGGTGGTGGAACAACTGAATAGCCATAAGCAAAACAAACAAACCACCCTCAACCCTACCTCAAGAATTTTTAATCTTCAAAAGACACCATCAAGAAAATAAAAAGACCATAATCTGAGAGAAAATGTTTATAAAACACTCGTATATCCGATAAATGAATTGTACCTAAAGTATAGTAAGTCTTCTAAGTCAACAATAAAAAGGACAAACAATCCTTTTTTTTTTTTAAATGCAAAAGATTTGAATAGGTATTTCCCCAAAGAACATCCATAAATGGCAAATGAGTGTATTAAGAGACACTCAATGTCCTTAGGGAAATTCAAACTACGATCGAAGTGTGACAATATTATACACCCACTAGAATGGCTAAAATAAAAGACAATATCACGCAGTGACAAGGATGTAGAGAAACTGGAACCCCATGCTTTGCTAGTGGGAATGTAAAATGGTATAGCCAGTTTGGAAAACAGCACGGCAGTTTCTTAAAAACTCAAACATACGCTTACCATAAGATCTAGCAATTTCACTCCTGGTAGAACATCCAAGAGACATGAAACGTAACGTCCACACAAAGACTTTTACACAAATTTCACAGCAGCATTACTCATAATAGCCCCAAACTGGAAATAGTCCGAATGTTTAGCAACTGAGGAATGAGTAAAACCATGTGGAACAGCCATGCGATGCAATATCATTCAGCAGAAAAGGGACAAATTACTGACACGTCCAACAACATGGATGAACCACAAAAACCTTATGGTAAGTGACAGAAGCCAGACACCACAGAAGACATACTGTGATTCTATTTCTATGAAATTTCTAGAAAAGGCAAAACTTCACGGACAAGAAAGCAGATCAGTGGTTGCTCAGGGTGACAACAGAGACTGAACATACAGGGATGAGGGCATGTTTTGGGGAGACACAAGTGTTCCAAAACTAAACTGCACTGAAGTTTGCATTACTGTATAAATGTACTACAGCATACACTGTACACTTACAGCGGGTGCATTTTATCATATATAAATTATGCCTTAAAAAAAACTGCTAAAAACCAATCTACTGTTTGGGGATATATACATAGGTGCTAATGCCACCTATAAAGAAAGGGAATTCAGAATAGACGTTACATAGAATGGGGAAAGGAGAATAATCCAATCAGGAAGCAGCACACAGGAGACATCTGATACTAACAACATTCTATTTTGTCCTGCATCAGACAAGTCCAGCAGTTTGGAATATGGAGTTAAGAGACAATGGTTTCTCCTCTCTTCCATCTTCTCATCTTCCAGTGTTTCAATTTCAATTCTGAGACTTTCCGATCCATAGCTTCATCTCTTACCTGAATCAATACTGAGGACATCATCATCTTCATCAGGAATCTCAATTATTTCTGTAGGCTGGGAAGCTTCATCCTCCGAGCTGCTGTCCCGGTACTGTAGTCCCAGTTTGGAGTAAAAGTCCTTCACCAAAGACTCACAATTAATCACTGCCCTAATATTGGAACACATGTAGAGAAGGTCAAAGCCAGTACGTGTAGGAGCCATTAGAATTTATATATATTTAAGTATATGCTGACCACAATTTAAACAACCACATTCTCAAGTGTCTCTGTTTAGAATTTAGAATGCTTTTCCCATAGAAAAAAATGTTTAAATAGTGGTTTCCAGACTAATTCCTCAAAAATCCACAATAAGCCCAAAGTACGGTCCTTTCAACCATACCTCATCATTTACCTCGTTAATTGAAAATGTGTTCTAAGTGACAACCAGGGCACCAGAAACAAATCTTCCAGGGCCCTAGGAACTTATTAATGCTCCAGTTACATAAGACTGTAACTATTCACAATCCTCACTCCCCAGCTGATCTTACTACGAAAACAAAGCACTTGTTCTGAAGTAGAACGCGAGAGAAAGAAGGAAGGGGACTCAAGACCTGGACCCTTGTGCCAATCACATACTAGGTTCTGATTGATGAATATTCTATATACTGGGGGTGCCACAAAAATGTATGCACATGACTTGTATTCATCTTCTGTTATCAGTATATTTTGAGTATTACAATTTTAACATAGTTTTTTTTTCTTAAAATGTGTATACTTTTTTTTTTTAATTGTTCGGTCGTGTTTTTGTTTTTTAATTTTACTGGGGAACAGTGTGTTTTTTCAGGACCCATCAGCCCCAAGTCAAGTAGTTGTTTCAATTTAGTTGTGGAGGGCACAACTCAGTGACCCATGTGGGGATTGAACCGGCAGCCTTGGTGTTATGAGCACCGTGCTCTAACCACCTGAGCTAACCGGCCGCCCCTGTATACATTTTTTTGGCACCCTCTGTATATGGGTGGTGGTGAGGTAAGATATTGGACTCTAACCTTCGAGGAAGAGTCAGGTTTTGCACATCTGTACCTTGTAAACTATAAGATGCATGGCACAGTGTCATGAACAATTATACTTTAAAAATGTCTGCCAATGGAGAGATTTCCTCCCATTGTAGTCCTCACCTGGATGCATCATCGAAGAGCTGGTCAACGTGGGCCACCTCAGTTTCCTTCTGTATGACCCACGTCTCCAACTCTGCTAGCTGCTTCTTGCGCTGCTGTACACAGTCCATCTTTTCCAGTTCTTCATCAATGAACTGCCGCAGTTCCTCCATGGAGATGCCCAGTTCCTCAACCACTGCTTGCTGCAGCTCTGCAATCTCTTCGGACTCCACGGCAGCTGTCGCTGCACCCAACCCAAGGCACCCAGGGAGGGAGGACATGCTGTTGTCCTCTGCATGGAACAGAGAGCTAAAATTACCTCTGGAGTAATTATGACCATAATAGAGAATTTCAGCCCCCTAATAAAACTCATTCCTACTCCTTACTTGTTATTCAAATATAGTTAGGTTTGATTCTCCCCGTTCTCCAATACATGTTGCTGACATTCTGTAGAGCTCTCATCTTATGCTATAGACTACAGAACTGAATAAGATTTAAAAGTTTGAAGAGGGCATATATGGTACAACAGGGAGCTAATGGCAATAATGTTGTCGGAAACTGAGGGGAACCAATTTACTTATAGGCATACCTCGTAAAAATTGTGGGTTGGGGTTCCAGACACCTTAATAAAGCGAGTATTGCAATATAGTAATGTTTTTGCTAGTAGAGGATCTTTGCCTTCAACTTCTAAAAAAAAGTAACACCTGTGAAGCGCAATAAAGTGCAATAAAAGGAGGTATACCTGTATTTCTGTGGTCTGTGTTCCTTAAAGGGACTAATGAGATAAATCTTTGTTTACATGCTATTGCCTAGTTTGAACAAATACCTCCGCTTGGGGTGAGGGGGGAGGAGGTTGAGCTAAAAGTCACTAACTCACTTCTCCAAAGTAAGGGAAATAAAGCAAGCTGGAATAAAATGTGTCTACCTAAAGCCTACAATCCAAATAACCCACACACTGGTGATAGCTGCTTTTCTGATCAAACGGTTAAAGCAATACTGATGCCAGTATGCGGGGCGACCCCAATGCCAGTTCTCACCGCCTGCAATTTTTCACTTGGCCCACACACCACCCCACCCCCGTACTACCCATTTTAGGTGTGCGTCCCACCCTCCCGCAAACCCAGCTCAACCCCGCCCCCGCTCGCCGCAGGGGGAAAACTTCCTTCCCACCCTCACTCGACCTCCTCCCACAAACAAAACATTCCAGACAAGCCCTTGGTCTCCAAATACCTCAGTTAATTTCCCACACCTCCCTGCTTCCAGCTGCAATAGCTCTTTTTTCACCAACGAGACCCCAGACTCACGACTCGTGGGTGGGCCTCTAGGGGAGAGAACGAGAGAGAAAGGGGAGCAGGGGGAGGGTAAAAAACGTGAGGGAGGGAAAGGGAAGCAAAAGAGACGCCCGGAAGCAAACCTTAGGGCCGTTCCGGTCCTCGCGACGGTAGCCTGACAGGGTCAAACCCAAAGCTTGCAGGGCACCCCCTCTGAGGCTAGTCAAATTCAGGCGAGTACGCATGCGTTAAAGCTGAGCCGTCCACGGCACACGTGAGAAGCGATGGGCAGAGTGAAGTGGGCGTGGTCTGGAATATATTACAGAAGCCCCGCCTTTTCCACCGCCCCCAACCAGTGGCAGCAATACTAAGTTTATTGTGTAAGGGAAGACTCAGTGGGTCAACACTCTTAGGTTTAGAGTTCTTCTCTTAGTTTTACTGGATTTTGTTTTATTACATAGATCGTACAAATTGTAATAAGTAGAAGAATAGCAAGATGTAATAAGAAAAACACGACACTATCCTTTCTGTTCTCATCACTTAACCACCCCTGCTCCTTTGAAGTAAAAAAGCTTCGTTTTCTAGGCTTGTAGGTGCAAGATCATGTGTGTGGATTTTCTGTTGTTTGTTTTGTTTTGTTTACATTTAACGTGTGGACATCCCTTGAAGTCAATAAAAAGGATAACATTTGTTTGACAGTTGTATAATATTTCATAGTTTGGCTAAACCGTGTTTAGAAATTAAGATTATTTTTAGTTTTTAGCCACTACCAATAATGCAACAATAAACACTAACATCCTTTTAAAGTAGTATTTTTATTGATTTATTTATTTTATTTTATTTTTTTAGCTGAGCCATCCTGCCACCTGTTGGCAGCTCAGCGGCAGCTCAGCTCAGGCTGGGAATTGAACCGGTGACTCTGTCAGAGCTCGCACTCTTGAGTGAACTCTTAACCAACTGAGCCACTCGGCCGGCCCTAGTACTTCTATTTTTGTGGAAGAAATTCTCCCAAATGGAATCTGAGTTAAATATATATATATATATATATATATATATATATATATTCTGTTTACATTTTAATAGAATCTGCTGTCAAATTACTTTTCCAAAAGGTTGAAACAATTTTTACTCCCACTAGCAAATCTCTAAAGGCATGTTTCCCAATAACCTCATTAGGACTGGATGTTAACTGTTTAATTTTTAAGAATTTGATAGGTGTTAAAATAATATCTGTTTCAGGATAGACCAGGTTATGCTGTGGAAACAACTCCAAAAGCTTAAACAAAAAAAAAAAGTGTATTTCTTGTTCACACTGCATAATCATCTCTAGAAAGTTGGCAGTGGAACTCTGCTTATGATAGCTAGTCATGCCAGAGGAAGAGAAAGAGAAAGCTATAGAGGGTCTCACATAAGCAATTAAAGCGACTAGGACACTTTCAGTTACAACTTATTGGTCTGGATGAATCATAAGGCCCCACCCAACCACCAGGGAGCTGGTAAGGACAGTCATGCCTCATCTCTGGAAGCAGAGACAGCAAGGTGTACGCGTTCTGACAATTAAGTTCGCAAACTCATCCTAGGAACAGTGCTATATACCTCATTGCTGAAAATCACTGAGGTCACCTTCGAAGTACTCTCTTTGGGAAGCTATGCACCAATGCCAGTGCCTAGTCCACCCTTCAAAGTAATTTTGGAACTCTTTTTCTGGAATGGCCATCAGAGCTGTCATCGTATTACCGTTGATGCCCTGAATGTCATCAAAATGTCTTCCTTTCAATATTTCCTTTATCTTCAGGTAAAGTAAGAAGTAATTGGGGGCCAGATCAGGTAAGTAGGGAGGGTGTTCCAATACAGTTATTTGTTTACTAGCTAAAAACTCCCTCACAGACAGTTCTGTGTGAGCTGGTGCATTGTCGTGATGCAAGAGTCATGAATTGTTGGCATAAAGTTCAGGTCGTCTAACTTTTTCACACAGCTTTTTCAGCCCTTCCAAGTAGTAACCTTGGCTAACTGTTTGTCCACTTGGTACAAATTCATAGTGAATAATTCCTCTGATATCAAAAAAGGTTAGCAACATTGTTTTGACTCTTGATTTGGACTGATGGAACTTTTTTGGTCGTGGAGAATTGGCTGACTTCCATTGTGCACTCTAATGCTTTGTTTCAGGGTCCTATTGTACATGTTTTATCACCAGTGATAACATGGCCCAAAACATCATCTTGCATCTCCAAAAGGTCTTGGCAAACTTTGACTCTCCTTTGCTTTTGTTCATCAGTGAGCTCCTTCGGGACCATTTTTGCACACACCTATCTCATGTCAAGATTTTTAGTTAAGATTTTCCTAACTGTTTCTCTATCGATGTTTACTTGGTCTGCTATGCTTCTCACAGTCAGCTGACGATTTTGACAAACAATTTGACAAATTTTTGCAATGTTTTAATCAGTTCTGCTCGTTATTGGTCGCCCTGACCTGTCTTCATCAGCGACACATTCTCTCCCCACAGAAAAATGTTTAATTTATTTAATTTGTACACTGCCATTTTCTTCATGGCATTATCCCTATAAACTTGGACTAACATGTCCCTGATTTTACTTCCACTTTTGCCAAGTTTAACAAGAAATTTAGTGTTTGTTTGTTGCTCTAATTCAAGCTCAGACATTCTCACAATGGCACACAAAAACACGCAACAACAATAATGAATGCCACTCAGCAAGACACTACCACACGTCAACACGAACACAGCTGTGAGACGGTGATATACCAAGGTTATGAAACCTTACCGAGCTGTTTGTACAGTGCTGCCAATGTAAGTGCACGGTGTGAAGTTTGTGAACTTAATTGTCAGAACTCGTATTTGATGAACCAGCACTGTTGACTACCATGGTATCTCAATGTTGTTTTAATTTGTTGAGCTATCTTTTACACTAACGGTACCTAACTTCATTTACAAAGTATAAACCACAATCTGCCATGTAAGAGTGGAAACAGGGACCGAGCAGCCAGGATCATCAAAAAGTCCTTGAAATCCTCTCCTGCTGACCACACTTTCACCTGTGCCCATTTCACCTGCCCACCAGTTTCCTGGGACCACTCTAACTGCCTGTTTCCAATTGTTAAGACATGGAGAACTGAGGTATAGAGAAGTGACAGGATCCTCTAGATATTCAGAATTCAGCATGTTCCAAACTCATCTCATCATGGTATTATCTTCTAACCTGAGCTAGAAATTTTAGACAATACTCCCTATAAACACACACACACACACACACACACACAATTTATTGAGTGTTTACTACAGACTAGGCACTATTCTAAGCGCTTTACAGTTATTATTTTATTTAATTCTCACAATAATCCTATTACGTAGGAACCATTATTATTGTCTCTCATTGGATGAGAGACCTGAGGTGCAGAATTAAATTTCCTAAAGCCACATAGCCAAGAAGCGTCAGAACCAAGCAGGTTGATCCCACAGCTTGTGGTCTTAAACCACTATTCAATTCAGGTTGTTTATCCTTGATTGGGAATGTTTATTATATGTTTTCCTTCTTTTTTTTTTTTTTTTTCCTATTCTACTCCTTTTGTTTAGCTCTTGTCTCTTGCCAGGATGAAATAGCCTCCTAAATGGTAGCAGAATTAACTCCTGCCTGTGTGCTTCCATTACCTTAGTTCCTTTCCACTTGTGAGTTATCTGTGTCCGCGTCTCCTCTGCTGGCTTGTGATTAACTGAAGGCCAAGGTCTTGTCTTCATCATCTTTGTTGCCCCTAGCATCTGACAGATTGCCCTGTACATGTGATGCTCTGTAATGTGTGATGAATAGAGGGAACTCTTTGCCCCGATTATGTTTCTATTAGTCAGATCCTTTCAGAACTTTCTGACATGTGTGTGGGTGGTTTGGGGCGGAAATAAGGAATGGGGAATGTTGAAGAGAAACAGGAGCTATTTGGGGCATCATATTCCAGTCTGATTTCTTCATTGCTCTGAGAAGGCTGAAACAATCAGACATAGAAATCAGCAGGGGGACGCAGGAAGTGGCTTCTTAAAGCCTTGCACAACCAGGAAGCTTGTGAGAGATTCTAAATTTCTGGCCCCATTAAGGATGTACGTACTGAATCAGAATCTGAATTTTAATAAGACCTCCAGGTAATTTGTTTGCTCACTAAAATATGAGAAGCACGGTAGAAAAGGCAAGTTTGAGCTGTGTAATCCTTTCTAGGGCAGGGCCAAGACTTGGCTTTGTTTTTGTTAGGGCCTGAAGACTAAGTCTTGTTGAAGATGATTAGGCTCTGTTATAAATGACTCACATTATTAAGTTTTACAAATTATTGATGGAGCTTATTGCCAGTTTAATAATATAAAGTCATAAATAACTGATATACCAATTGGCATATTCATGTTGGTGTGCTCAGCACATTCATTCCTATAATCCACTGTGATATGTTGAAAAATCACAACCACATGCTACTTAATACTTGACCATGAGAAGTCATAGCCCAGGGGCCAAAACCTTGGAATGCTAAATGATCCTTTCGCTGCAGGCTGACTTAAGGGAAATTAGATCATAATCTAAAGGTTGCTGAGTGATCTCAGAATCAAAACAAAAGAAGAAAGGGATTAAAAACAAAGGGTTTCAGGCATCAGGAAAGTAATGTAAAGAAGCAAAATGGGGTGGGTGAGGACAATGGTCACCTGGGAAATGCATTTGTCACCTGCAGGGAGCAATTGCTACTTAGCTCCAGTTAATTTTTGTTCTGTGTGACAGACACAGTGTTGCCAGATCTCCACATTTTCAAAGGGTTTAAAAAACTCATATTTTTATATGAAAAATTCTAAATTTTGAATGCTGACAACTCATTCAAAAATTTTGTAAAATATTCTTTAAACCAGCTATTCGACTTCTAGGAATTAAACTCCATACCTTTGAAATTGCATGCCTTTGAAATGATGTGAGCTAAATTATCTTCTGCAACATTGTTTGAAATAGCAAAATATTCAGAAACAATAGCAATTTCCATCAGCAGGGGTTGATTAAACAAATTATGGCACACCCAAATGGTGGAATACTCCTGCTGTGTTTTTGAAAAAGGTTAAGGAAGCTCTTTGTGCATTGATATGGAGGGATCTTCAAGATATTAAATGAAAAAAGCAGGTGCAGAACATGATGTATAGCATGCTATTATTTGTGTAAATAATGGCAACAATATACATATACCTAAACTATCACTAGAAGGAGGCGTAAGAAATTAACACTGAAGAGGGCAAACGGAAGGGTAGGGGGCAAGAGTGGGAGTAAGGGTCCTCATAGTATCCATTTTATACCTTTTGAATACTGAAACATGAAAACTGTTTATTCACACATATTACATTAAAAAGAAAAAGAAAAGGAAACTGTCTGGAAAGATACACATACATGCACAAACTACCTTAACTGCAGTTACCCTTGGAAGGAAGGGTTGGGGAACAAGGCCGTGTGTAGAAATTTTGTGCATTTTTATCCTTAGGTAATGTCTGAAAGCAATTATGTATGTATGTATGTATGTCTGTATGTATGTATGTATTATTATTATTCTTATTTTAATTTTTTTTTTTTTTTTAGCTGAGCTACCCTGCCACGTGTTGGCAGCTCAGCTTGGGCCGGGCATCAAACTGCTGTTGCTCAGAGGTCGCACTCTTGAGCAAGCTCTTAACCAACAGAGCCACTTGGCCGGCCCCAATTTTTTATTTTTTACCATGTGCATTTTATTACTTGTATAATATAATTTGAAAATGTTGACTCAAAAAACAAATACAGAATCTAACACACACCCACACACACTTTGCAGATTAACATTGAAGGGGGTCTGGCCCAGTGAAACTTCTCTGCAGACTGACTGGATCTGTAGCTGACAGTTTAAGCGGGGTGAAAGGAATGCCTAAGGCCATCAGGTTGGCAGAGATAACATGGGCAGTAAAACCAGATAGACCCAAGATCTGCGGGCTGCAACTCACTGAATCTTCACACAACGACAATTCGGTCCCTGGAACAGGATGCGCTGGACTGTCCAATGGCGACGTTGCCCTGTTTCCTGAATAACATTCAGGCCTGCATGAGTTCGCCTTGGCTTGTTCCTCTTTCTCTGCTTTCACGGATGGTCTACTTCTTCTGACTGATGCATTTTTTTCCTAGGTAGGTTGCTGGAGAAAGTAGGATAATAGTCAGACCTGTGACCCTCTAGTGACTCCAGACTGATGCTCTCATTAATCATGTGTTTGTCTTGCATTTTATTTTAAGGGGTGGGGGAAACATTAATTTGTGAGTTCCTGGAGGGAACACACTGTAGCCCTCATGTACTGACATCAATCTTAATCTGATTTCCTTTTACCCTGACCGTTACCTTGCCCTGAATTTCTTTTCATTAAATCAGGGTACACATCATATCTCTTTCTCTCTCTCTCTCTCTCTCTCTCTCTCTCTCTCTCTCCATGAACCAATAAAGCATCCTCTGTTCTGGTCAAGGCAAAGCCTAGTATAGCCATTGGAAGGCTTTGGTTCCGCTGCCTCCACTTTCAAATAATCCTCGGGATTTACTCAGCTCAGTTCTGCTTCCAGGAGTTGGGAACAATGATCAAATCTCTGCTAATAGTGCATGGCTAGAGTTACGTCTCTGTACCATTTGGTATCACTGCTAACGCCTGGCCCAGCATGGTCCTGTGAATACATGTCTCCACTGAAGTGACTTATATGCTGGTCCATGTCCCTGCCCAAGCCCAGGTGATGCCTCCCACTTATATGGCAAGGCTATGGCTCTCTTAGTTCACTGTCACATGCTAGGTCACTGTTGCCTAGAACATATGGCTGAACTTGGACTTGAGAGTTTTAATCTCTATCATTTTTTGTGCTAGAACCAACCCTCTCCTGTGTCGAGCCTTGGTCGGTGGTCTAGATGCTCCTTTTCCTTCTAGTGAATTCTCTCCTGGGATTTCCTGTCAGGTGGCCATAGTCAACCCTACCAAATTTCCCTAACTTCAGATTTTGGAGAGTAGGGATTATGATTTCCTTCTTTTTTCTCTTAAAAGGTCCCTGGGAATGATAGTTGTCATCATCACCATCATCATCATCATCGTATTATATTTTGGTTTCCTGTAGCTGCCATAACAAATCACCACAAACTGGTTATAAAAAACAGAAATTTATTTTCTCACAGTTTTGGAGGCTAGAAGTTCAACATCAAGGTGTTGGCAGGGCTGCACTCCCTACAGAGACTCAGGGGAGATTCCTTCCTTGCCTATTCCAGTTTCTGGTGGGTCTAGGTAAGAGTTCTTAACCTTGTGGCTCTGTCTCCATCTCCTCATGGCCTTTCCCATTGTCTCCCTGTGTCTTCTCGTCTTCTGTCTTTTTTTTTTAAAGATTTTATTGGGGAATTGGGGAAGGGGAACAGACTAGTTGCTGTCCTTTTGTTCTTCGGTCTAGTTGTGGAGGACATCGCTTCACTGGCCCATGTTGGTATTGTGATCATTACACTCTTCCTGGCTGAGGCAGATCGGTTCCCAGGCCTTGGACGGCTGCTCACGGCAGCTGATGGCAGCTCATGCCGGCTGCTGGACACTCATGGTAGCTTACCGCAGCCCACTGCAGCCTACACCATTGCCAGTGACTCACGGCAGCCCAGTTCTAGGTTGAGCTGTTGTTCACCATCTTAGCTGTAGAGGGCACAGCGTCACTGGCCCATGTGGGATCTGAACCGGTGGCCCTGCTGCTCAGAGCTCATGCTCTCAAGCCAACTCTTAACCAACGAGCCACTCGGCCAGCTCTCCTCTTCTGTCTTTTATAGAGATACTTGTCATTGGAATTAGGGCTCACCTGGATAAATCAGGATGAATTTATCTTAACTGTACCTGCAAAGAACCTTTTTCCAAATAAGGTCACATTCATAGGGTGAGGACATGGACATATCTTTTTTGAGGGCCTATTTTCAACCTATTTGGTGTTATTTTATAGATGAGGAAATATGGGATACAAGAGATTAAGGAACTCACCCAAGGCAAATTAGCCCCCTTCTACCTCAGATTCCGCTTGAGAGGGGCAGAAGATTTTATCATAGGACAATTGGTTCCTGCTAGCCTTACATTTGCATAACTAAAGAGACTTCCTAGGACCACCTCTGGGAGGGCTTCCAGTTTTAGTTGTGATTTATCTAGCATCATGATGTTATATTACATAATAAAATTATGGCCAACTGTCTTATCTTAAGGACATTAGATCCTAGACAATTAAAACCCATGGCATTATTATTTTTTTTTTAAGGAGGGCGCAGTTCACAGTGGCCCACGTGGGGATCGAACTGGCAACCTTGGTGTTATTAGCACCACACTCTAACCAACTGAGCTAACCAGCCACCCCTGACCTCCCCATGGCCTTATTTTATTTTATTTTAGTTTAGTTTTAGACTTTTATTGGGGAATTGGGGGGATGGGAACAGTGCTGGGGAATTGGGGGAAGGGAAACAGACAAGTTGCTGTCATTTTGTTCTTCAGTCTAGTTGTGGAGGAGGTTGCTTCACTGGCCCAAATTGGCACCATCATTGTGCTCTTCCCGGGCGAGGCAGATCAGTCGCCGGCTTCTGGCCTGGACGGCTGCTCACTGTGGCTGTTGGCCTCTCACGCTGGCTGCTGGCTACACACGGTAGCCCATGGCAACCCACTGCCACAAGGGGCTGCAGCGTACACTGGCGCCGTCAACTCACGGCAGCCCAGCTCCAGGTTGAGCTGTTGTTCAGCATCTTAGCTGTGGAGGGCAGTGTCA